CATGAATTATTTTGAAAAACTGTCTATAAATATCCCAAATGCGCACTATTCGCCTCATAACACTGATGATTATAAATGACAATGATAATATGGATGATAATTTTGTCAGTTTAGAATTAACAAATTTGCTGGTCTAAATGAAAAGTTCTTGCACCAAACCATATCAAATTTCTTATCATTAAAAAAATTAAAAATAAGATAAAATAAAATGAAGTAAAACATTAAAAACGCGAAAAACTTATTTTACAATTCTGAGTAGTTAACAAAGCTTCTTTCATAAATATCATTGAGTAAACCATAAAGAAATGGAATGATGATCCTTTCAAAATCCTGTGGCGAGTTAGCTCAAAAGAGGAACCGTAAGGAAAAAAAAAAAGAATGATAAATAAAAAGCGCGAAAATTAATACCGCGTACTTCCGGCCGAAAGATTATTAATAATGAATAATTTTTAAAAAAAAAATCTCTGCGGCCCAAGCGAAGGAATCTAAAAGTAAAAAAAAATTAAAAATGTAAAGAGATATGTTTTATAATTTCAAGGTAAATGATCTAAAGCAACTAATTTTCCTTCTTGAATATTTAAAAAAGAACGTCCTCCTAAATAAGATTAAATACAGCAAAATCGTCTATATTATTAAAGTGAATGTGTAATTGAAAAATCGATAAAGAATTACGATTTTCTCGCTTTCCTTTTATCATCTCTAAATATATCGATATAGTCAAACTCTATTTATTATTCAAAACCTATATATTTTACATGTTATGTAAATTATAAAAAATGTTTAATATGTATAAAGGAAATGTCAACAAGATTTAAAATGCGGCAATGAAGTCGCAATTATTTATTTATTTATTTTTTTTTTGTATTAAAATCTGTTGAATATAATAGATAATGTTTTAATATATATATGATTATAATTTATTATTATTTATTTGCGTAAAAAAGCTACTGGTTATCAAATTGACTACGTGGCAAAAATTACATAATAGGTTATCAATTAAAGTTAAAATTACAAGCATATTATTTTCCCTTGTCGTTTCCGAAGGGTTATCTATATACTCAGCGCTAAGTTTATGTTTCATTTCCAGAGAATTATGGGTTCGTGCGTATAAATATCCTTATAATCATTTAAATTCATAATATTTTGTAAGTCATCCAATTAAAAACCTTCAAAAATTTAATATGCCCAAAAATTTTGTCATCGAATGGTTTTATTTTCGGACCAAACTATTGGTGACGCAGTGATTTTATCACAAAAAAAAAAAAATAAAATAAAATAAAATAAAAAAATAATTATTAACTTTGCCAAGAAAAAACTTATTACATTCTAAGGACAAGGACTGAAAGGGCGTATGGTTTTGTTTGATAGAAACCGCAGGAGAAGTGAATAGTATGCTTGGATTTTCAGATTGGTGGTAAAAAAACAGATTTAATTTTTTGCTATTGCATAACTAGTCTGAAGTTATATTCCAAATTTATTAAATCCGCTTTTTTCTTGGCAAAAAATTTATTCTCCGGATTTAATTAATCAAACTTTAAGGCTTATAAAATAAAATGGATGAATAATTAAATTCCTACAACTAATCCCGTTATTGAACAGGGAGTAGCTATATCGATCGTTGACCGATATAAGACATACGTTAGGACAATGACCGTGTAATATTCTATCTTTTGCTCTGCTTTTATGAACTTGCTACTGTTTCACATTTGTAGTTTTAACAAAGTTTATCATGTCTTGAAAGGTCATCAAACGTTTGTACTTATGGGTTATGCTTTGTTTTGCATACGAATAAAAGTTCAATTTATATCTTTCTGCTTATATAAGTAAAGTTTAAAAATTTGATATCGAAAATATTTTCTAACCAAATCTGGTTAGAGCGAGATAAAATTGATGTTTTTTTTTGTCCCTTGTATTTAGTGAAAATCATGAAATATCTTTGTTTAAAAATTTTAATCAGCTGTGAAAAGGGTTATTGCTTAGTTTTACTGTGTAAATTTGTCGAGTTCGTTCAGTTTCACTGCCACTAGGTGTAGCATAGTCAGGGAAATGAAAGTTCTTTTGTGGCCACGGTTGAGTGGGGAACCCTTCAGACCAACGGAATTAAGTAACCTTGAAGGAAGTTTTTACGATGAAGGTCAACTGATTCTGAATGAGAATTGGTTATGTATCTCCTCTTGTAAAGAATCTTAGAGACTTATAAATTCATGACGTATTTGTTTATTCCTGAGAGTGATCTCGTTCTTCTGTGAACGTTCTTCCCTGTTTCAGATGTCTTCCACGCAAGAAGCTTAAATGGTAATAAAGATACATGATTAGACGAATCGAAGGGACATCATGGTCACAGTCACTAACGACTTTAAACGTTCTTCTTGATAATGACGCAAGTATTAACATTTTATGGTATTATTTATTTTTAGAGGTCCACAGCAAACGTTATATTGTATCTTTCTACATAAAAACTTCCAGTCATAATCTTGTCCATTTGACATGAGTAATATTCTACACCCATCGGGAAGAGCTCAGTAAATCAGGTTAAGTGGAGGAAAGCAAACGTTGGCGGAAATTTTATTTACTTTATAAAATATTGGTTAGAAAGAAATTCAATTATTAAAAGTTACCGATATAACAATTGGTCAATAAGATGACGCTATTATATTCATGATAGATTCAAAGGTGTCGAGACCATAGATTAACTTTTCAATAGCTTTTCACATTTAAAAGCTTTTCATGAAACTTTGATTTTGATATTAAAGATAAATCAATGTAAATTAATTTTTTGATAGCTTTTGGAAGTTAATTCTTTCTTTTTATTTGCTACATGGATTTGATGCGTTTACCAAAAAAGTAAAAGATCAAATAAAAAAAAGGTTGAATGAACCATTTTCCAAATTTGTAGTTATGATTGTTTTGCTATAACGTAAAGGATCGTGTATATGCTATCACATCAGAAGATAAACACATTTGCATTGATTCCGAAGATAATGATTGCAAATTGATGGCGTCTCAGTTATCAAGATTTATCATAGAATATGCACGGTGACGAAGGTGTGGCTATTAAATAAGGAACTACGTAAACACCAACTTCACCCTAGATTTGATCAATCTTGAATTCACTGTTGTCAGACAATTGTAAAGCGAACTTCTTGAATCAAACTTTGTTGTAAATGATTTACAAAATTTGTAGAATCATCCGATAAAACTATTTAACAATACTGTTGCATTCAGTTCTTTACGTTTATATTTATAAACAAGGGAAATATGTAAGCAGAAGGATTTTAAAATTAAACAATTAGGCGATTTTGCTGTAAAAATTATTCAATAAAAATTAATTTATCAAGTATTGCAACGTCGACCTATTAATTAAAATATCGAGAACAAAAAAAAATAATTAAATAAAAAATATTGGGTAATTAAAATATGTCAATATCGCAATGTGAAATAAGGGAAGGAATATGTTATGTGTGAAATAACGATATTGCCTGATTCCCAATAATATAATTATATAAAATTAACTACTATAAATATTTTCTTTAATCTTCTCCTGATATGTTAAATTCTCCGTAATTACTCTGATGATCATTACCTTTATCGTCTTCAATTATAGAATTATTATCAGTTTCGTCTTCTTCACTATCAGTTTCATTTCACTATAGATATCATCACGATAAAATCCAAGTTCTTCAATTATAATAGATTTAGTAGTATCAGATGATTTCTTTAGAAATAGTAAGATAATCCTACAATATTATTTGATATATATTATGTTACATACCAACTAAAAATCAAATAATGGTGTTACAATTATTACATACCAAATAAATATCAAATCGTTTTCGCAGAAAATTATCGCCAATTGATATTTTTGGATGATTCGGATTTAACACAGCTTCACATACTGCTAAAGTAAAGGCAGTGTTTTTTCAGAAGTCTTTTTTTTTCCCCATGCTTTATTCTTTATTGCTTGAATATGTAAAAGAGTTCCATCATCATCAACTTTAAATAAGCATTTAAATGCTTTTTTTAGTTTTATGTGATTATTTTAAATTCATTGATAGCCTCCGCTGTTGCAGTTGTATTTATTCAAGTCAAAAATCCATCACCAAAGATATCAAACTTTGCAGCACGGATATCTTTGGCTTTATCACAACGGCGACTTTTAATAATTTCATTACACTAAAAACAAAAAAAAAATCCGTAATTTTATGGTAATATCAATATAATATTATATAAATATATAAAAACTTACTAGTGATTCAATTCGTCCTTATTAGATATGCATCAATTGGGGTCCATGTTTCTCAATATAACCAGGTTTATCCTGTTCAAGTATAGCCGAGAATAGGTAACTGAGCCTTACATGTTTGGGATACTAAATTCAATGAAGTAATTAGAACAGATAATTTTCATTTCAGGTAATCAAATATCATCTTTACTTAAAAATGAAGAAAATGAAATTGTTTATAAAGGAGGAATATAATAGTAGTATTATTGATGAGAAAAAAAGTGAAAAAGATAATAAAAAATCGAAAATTATTATGAAAGAATCGAAAAAGAAGATGATGAGATCAAAGAAGATAATGATAAGATCAAAGAAGATAATGAAAGAATTGAAAATGATGATGATGAAAGCGAAAGTTCTATCAGTAATATTGAAGATTTTATAGTGAAAATTTTGCTGCTGCACTTGATGATTTAAATAATCAAGAAATAATTACGTAGCCAAGCTAGACATATAAGGATTATATGACAACTGTAACATGATATATTATTTCAGATGCTGCAGTTGATGCAATATTACAAATAATAAAAAAATTGTACTGAATCACTGCCTGCTTCTACATGAAAAGGACAAACATTTATGGATATGATGAATATTAAGAGTCTTCATTTAAAAACAATGGAATTAGTTGAATTTGAAGGAAAAATTTATAAATTACAATATTATCCAATTATTGATACAATAAAAGAACTAAAATCTAATCATAAATTATGTAAAAAAATTTTTGATTATAAAGAAGAATAAAAATCTCGTGATCTAAGTTTAAATTCTTTTATTATAATTTATAGTTTATAATATTTAAGTTAATAACTAATTATTAATATTAATATAATAAAGGATAGAACTTTAATGAGAGTATATTTAGAATAAATTACTGCAGAATGATAGCATGAAAGAGAATCACTATTTAACAAAATTCTTTGCAGTAAAATTATATATTGATGATACTATACTTAATGCAAATGATTAACATTCTGAATATCCTATATTTTTAATACTTGGTAATATATTTAATTAGTGTTAGAATTGCCTGATACAAAAGTCTTTATTGGGTTCTTATCACATTTAATTATTCAAGGTAAAAATTTTGCAAGTCTAAAAAATTTAAACAATATAAATAAGATTTAAAATAACATACTTTAAAGTATTTACTTGTCTACTTCTTTAAAAAAAAAGAAATTTATTTAACAATAAATGGAAAGTTAAAATACTTTTTTCTGCATATATCTATTATTCTTACAAATATGTTAAAAGTACAAAAATATTTGTTGTACTTACAACTCATATTACATAACATGTTCTTGTTATAAATATCTTATACTAAGTCAGATAATGAGTTAAACAATATACATTTTAATAAAAATTCTTTTATTATACAAATCCATAAAAATATATGTGAAGCTATTTTTTATTATAATGCTACAAAATATTCTATTTATGAATTTAAAATTTTTTTCTGAAAATTTAGGTAAAATAGTAATTTTTAAATAAATTAATCTATATTTATTTTATTATAATATTAATTTAGTTTTAATTTTATATATTTAGAATGAATATTTATAATACAATAGAAATAAATCATATACATTTATAAAAAATTAGTTTATTTTCTTATATGTTCAATTTTATAAGAAAAATGATTATGTATTAATTAAGCAGCTCAATTATTACTAAAATAGATAATAAATTGGCTACAATTACTCCATTTGATAAATTAAAAATATTGCATAATAGTTATCAGTAAGGAGTAAGATTCACTGATGCAGAAATGCAAGATGTAATGAAAATTATTATATTTATCTTTACACAAGCAATGATAAAATTAAATATCAAAATAATATAGAAAATAAACATTTTATCGATTATAATAAATTAATTCAATGTTTTATGAAATATATTAAGATATATATAATATCTAGAAAAAAAAAATTTAGCGAAGATGAATTAAGTGAATTTGAGATAATTATTGAGTTATGATTTATTTATTTTATTTAATTAAACTAATATTGAATTATATTATAGCAAAATATTATTAAATGGTCAGATAATTTTATTAAATTATTTAAATCATTTTCTCATAGTAGCTTATAACTACTAAAACTTTATATATTGTGATATCATACTATTTATACAATTTGACATTATGGTGTCAGCGTTGAAAATTTGCCTTAGAAAAATGATTTACAAAGGCATTAGATTTAATTTTATGTAGATTATATTAAGGAAGATCTTGATCGACGTATTGCATTAGAAAATTATTTAATTTGAAGGATTTACAAAATTTACCTGATTCGCTTGTTTCTCCTGTATTTTTTAAACAGTCTGTTTAATCTGTTTACTTTATTTCATTTATAATTTCTTTAACGTTTATAATTTATTTTATTTCTTTTT